CATCCACCATGACCAAATAGGCTTCATCCCAGGCATGCAAGGGTGGTTCAACATATGGAAATCCATCAATGTAATCCACCACATAAACAAACTGAAGGAGAAAAAACCACATGATCATCTCCTTAAATGCTGAAAAAGCATTTGACAAAGTCCAACACCCATTCATGTTTAAAGTCTTGGAGAGATCAGGAATACAAGGCACATATCTAAACATAGTAAAGGCAATATATAGCAAGCTTATAGCCAACATCAAACTCAATGGAGAGAAACTTAAATCAATCCCACTGAAATCAGGGGCAAGGCAAGGCTGCCCACTCTCTTCATACCTCTTCAACATAGTACTTGAAGTCCTAGCCAGAGCAATAAGACAACTAAAGGACATCAAGGGGAGGTCAAAGTGTCACTATTCGCAGATGATATGATAGTATATATGAGCAACCCCAAAAATTCAACCAGAGAACTCCTCCAGCTGATAAACACCTTCAGCAAAGTGGCAGGATACAAAATCAACTCAAAAAAATCAGAAGCCCTCCTGTATACCAAAGACAAAAGGGCCGAGAAAGAAATTAGGGAAACAACACGCTTCACAATAGCCACTAATAACATAAAGTACCTTGGGGTGACACTAACCAAGCAAGTGAAAGACCTGTTTGAGAAACACTTCAAGTCTCTGAAGAAAGAAATTGAAGAAAGATATCAGAAAATGGAAAGATCTCCCATTTTATGGATTGGTAGGATTAACATTGTGAAAATGGCCATCCTGCCAAAAGCAATCTACAGATTCAATGCAATTCCCATCAAAATACCAACTCAATTCTTTACAGACCTTGAAAAAAAGATTCTCAGCTTCATATGGAGAAACAAAAAACCCAGAATCTACAAAACAATCCTGTGCAACAACAGATCATCTGGAGGTATCTCCATCCTCGATCTCAAGCTGTACTACAGAGCAATAGTAATAAAAACTGCATGATATTGGCATAAAAACAGAAAGGAGGATTAATGGAACCGCATAGAAGACCCAGAAATAAACCCACACACCTATGAATACTCTATTTTTGACAAAGAAGCCAAAACCATTCAATGGAAAAAAGAGAGCATCTTCAACAAATGGTGCTGGTCCAACTGGATGTCTACTTGCAGAAAAATGGAAATAGATCGATATTTATCACCCTGCACAAAACTAAAGTCCAAGTGGATCAAAGACCTCAACATAAAAACAGATACTCTAAATCTGTTAGAAGAAAAAGTGGGGAACAGCCTAGAACTCATTGGTACAGGAGACAACTTCCTAAACAGAACACCAACAGCACAGGCTCTAAGAGCAACAATCAATAAATGGGACCTCATGAAACTGAAAAGCTTCTGTAAAGCAAAGGACATCGTCATCAAAAAAAAAAATGACTGCCTACAGATTGGGAAAGAATCTTCACTAAACCTTTATCTGACAGAGGACTCATATCCAGTATATACAAAGAACTAAGGAAGCTGAAAAGCAGCAAACCAAGTAATCCAATCAAAAAATGGGGAACAGAGATAAACAGAGAATTCTTGACAGAGGAATATAGAATGGCAGAGAAACACTTAAAGAAATGCTCAACCTCATTAGCCATCAGGGAAATGCAAATCAAAACGACCCTGAGATTTCACTTTCCACCCATCAGAATGGCCAAGATGAAATATTCAAGTGACAACACATGCTGGATAGGTTGTGGAGAAAGGGGAACCCTCCTCCAGTGCTGGTGGGAATGTAAGCTGGTACAACCACTTTGGAAATCTATCTGGCGCTTTCTCAGACAATTAGGAATAGTGCTTCCTCAAGACCCAGCTATACCACTGCTAGGTATATACCCAAACTTTGCTCAACCATGTTTATAGCAGCTTTATTTTTAATAGCCAGAACCTGGAAACAACCCAGATTTCCATCAACGCAGGAATGGATACAGAAATTGTGGTATTTTTACACAATGGAATACTACTCAGCAATCCAAAAGGAGGAAATCATGAAATTTGCAGGCAAATGGTGGGATCTAGAAAAGATCATTCTGAGTGAAATGTCCCAGAAGGAGAAAGACAAACATGGTATATACTTTCTTATATAGACCTATAAGATATGATAAACATAATGAAATCTATACACCTAAAAAAGACAAGCAAGAGAGCGGACATGAGGTAAGATGTCCTTTCAATCCTCGTTTAGAAAGACAGATGGGATGTGCATTGAACATATGACAGGATTCTACTGAAGGCATCTGAAAGACTCTAACTAGCAGTGTTTTCAAAGCAGATACAAAGACTCATAACCAAACCTTTGGCAGAGTACAGGGAATCATATGAAAGAAGGGGAGTTAGTATGATGGGGAAAGGATAGGAGCTCTACAAGGACCAAATATATCTGGGCACAGGGTCTTTTCTGAGACTGACATTCAACCAAGGACTATGTATGGATATAACCTAGAACCTCTGCTCAGATGTAGCCTGTGGTAGCTCAGCAACCAATTGGTTTCCCATAGTAAGGGGAAGAAGGACTATTTCTAACAGGAACTCAATGGCTGGCTGTTTGACCTCCCCACCCCCCAAGGGAGGAGCAGTGCTGTTAGGCCACAGAGGAGGACTTTGCAGCCAGTCCTGAAGATACCTGATAAAACAGGATGAGATGAAATGGGAGGAGGTTTCCCCCATCAGTGGACTTGGAAAGGGGCACGGTGGAAATGAGGGAGGGAGGGTGGGATTGGGAGGGAATGAGGGAGCTGGATACAGCTGGGATACAGAATTAATAAAATGTAACTGATAAGAAAAAAATAAAATTAAAAAAAAGAAAAAAGAAAAAATCTTCAATAAAAAAGAGAAAACAATATTAACTGTTTATTAGTGCTACAAATACAATAAAAGTTCTGTCACTTGAGTCATCACCTCTGCTGGAGTGAACTTCTTGGTAATACAACTGCCTTGAGTCATCTATTATCTTGTAACTAACCTTTGCCTATATTGCTGTGAGTAACCACAGTGAAATCATTGGTCTGGACAATCTAGAAAGGTATAAAACAAATTTGAGCTTGTGTTGGTGGTATATGCATGTGTGTACACACACCTCTGCATTTGTATGTTTTGTATGTATGCAATGGGTTGTGTATGTCTTTGGATCATTCATGCTCTGTGAATGTGTGTGGCACATGTATGTGTGTGTGTGTGTTCTATGTATGTAGTGCATGAATGTGTTCACACATCTGTGCATTTGTGTGTTATGTGTGCTTTAAGTGATGGATGTTTATGTTGTATGTGTATGGTTATGCATGTGTGTGGCACATGCATATGTATGTTAAGCTAGAAAATCAACGTGCAAGGTACCACTTCTGAGATTTCTTATTTTACATCAGCTTGTGAGAGAAGAGCAGAGACAGTAAGAAGGAAACGTTTGTCTGTCTATACAGAAACTACTCACAATATTAATAACGAACTATTTGTGAATGCTAAGCCCAGCAGAGTAATTCTTTCTGAATGGGTCCACCAGTATTCCGTACTTTTATTTATTTATTTTGAGCTGAGGTTTTCCTATATTGCCAGTACTGGCCTCTGACTCAGACTCTTCGTATAGCTTTCCACATAACTGACTACAAGAACAAGCCATTGCATTATTATTTTAGTTAATGCATGGTCCTGTGGTATGTCATGACATTTTAGTATGTATATGTAGAATGCGATGATCATTGACATATTACCAACCATTTACCAGTTCTTTGTTCTGGTGCTAGAAATAGTAAAATACATTTTTGCTGGCTGGTTTGAAATGTTCACTTGATTATTCCCAGTGTCCTACTACGCTATTGGGACCCGCACTTACTGTTATATATTTTACTTTGAGTCACCATCCAGTGTGGTTTGCGGCATACAGTCAACCACTCAGCCATAGCAAATCATAATGAAATGGGTGTGTGTTCTAAGAAAAGCAGTACACACACAATCAATACAACCAAAATTCACCCATAAAAGGATACAATAAATATTTCTTTTTCTCTTTGTTTAAGGGAAAAGTCACTTCAACTGTTCAAATAACAACTAGGAAGAAGAGTTTTACAATCACTTGCATATCAGTGTAGCAAACCTGTTAGTCCCTTCAAGCCTCTCTCCTGTCCCTGATTCTGGAGGGTAATAGGTAGTGCAAGAACTTCCAAACCAATGGTTCCATTGCCCAGGATTCCTTGCAGTTTGCTATGCTCAAATGGCAGGACTCTAACAAATAGAGTATGAGAGGAAGTTCTATGTACTCCTGATTTGATCCACACAAACTTCCTATCCAAAAGTATATTGTAATTTAACCTTTTTTTTCCTTTAGGCCTAAAGGATGACTTTGAAGCTGTGCATAGATGATAACAAGGCACCTTTAGCATGTAGGTGTAAAACTGGCATGCTTCAAAGCCATTTGTTGACCTCTGACATGAAACTTACTTATGGCTGGGAGCATGACCTAGTGAGTAAGAATACTTGTTTTGCAAACATGAGGACATGAGTTTAAATCCCCAGAAGCAACATAAAAATTGGTCAGGTCTGTAGGTGCCTACAACCTCAGAACTATGGGGAAAGGGAAACAGGTACATCCCAGCCATCCCAGCCAAAATGAAAAGCTTCTGTTTCAGTGAGAGACCTGTCTCAAGGCAATAAGGAATGCACAAAAGAAAAAGACACCTGACACTTTGTTGTGACTGCTATATACATACATATAACTGACCACAGCTGTACATTCATGCCTATGCACTGCACACAGATGCTACCTACACAAAGAATATTGTAGGGTGTCATTACTGTTACAAATGTTCTTGATTCTAAGATGACCAGACAAATATACAGATCCTTTCAATTCTACACAGAAAGTGAGCTAAAATTTTCATCCTGAATTTCCTTCCAAAACATCTCTACCGATAAAACTCTACTTCTTCATACTTCTTCAGGGAAAGATAGCTATGACTTAATAGGACAATGAAGTAATTGATTCAGTCACCAACCTCAGGCTCAGTTCTATTGATGCCTGTGAGAAAAAGGAGGTAGGCCAGAAAAAGGCAGATGGAGAGCTGCAGGTGGAGGGTGGTGCTGATATTCTGGATGGGTCGGCACAGGAGAAAGGTGATGGCAGCCAGGAACAGGCAGAAGAGAGAAAAACTCAGTCCCACATAGGTGATCACAGAGAGTGCTGACAGCACAGAGTCCTCCTATGAAAAACAAAAGGATATTTCAGAGTCTCTAGGTTTACACTACAGTTACCGTGAACATCAGCTTGCCATGTCTTCTTTGTTGTTCCATCAAGGTTGAGATTAGTGCTTAGCACATGTTATTCATTTAATAAATATTGGCTAAACAAAAACAGCATGTGGAAATATACAGCATTATGGCCATTGAATAGTATTTAATAAACATGGGCTAAAATGAAACAGCAGAATACAAGTTTTAACTACAGAGTAAGTTACATTCTACAAGGCTGCCTGATTGACTAAAACTTGTGACTCTATAGAGTGGGAACATTGCAGAATAGCAGTAACATTATTTTAATTCTTTAGTCCTATAAATAGCATCTTTTACCCATCTATCTATTACATAGCATTCTTAAAAATATTATGTAAATTATTTTAAAACCCACGAGCAGATCTCTAACTTCTACTAACCCAAAAGTTCAAAATGTCAACAGCATCTAAGGCTATATCAGATTTTCCTGCTGCATTGTGATCCACCTACCTGATGTTCACCACTGTATTTGAATTGATTGTATCCATTATTTTCTTTGTTCTCTTACTATAAAAACATGATATTTAGAGTAATCTGAATTTGCCTTCCTGGACCATTGCTACTCATATTTAGCCCTAGGATAAAGTATTTTGTATTTATTTTTATTTTTTTGTAAACATATTTTTATTTTCTTTTTTATTAATTACAATTTATTCGCTTCGTATCCCACCTGTAGCTCCCTCCTTCCTACCCTCCAAAGCCCACCCCTCCCTCTGCCCCACCATACCCCTCCCCTAGTCCACTGATAAGGGAGGTTTTCCTCCCCTTTCTTCTGACCCCAGTCTATCAGTTCTCATCAGGAGTGGCTGCATTGTCTTCCACTGTGGCCTGGCAAGGCTGCACCCCCTGAGGGGGAGGTGATCAAGAGCAGGCCAATCAGTTCATGTCAGACACAGCCTCTGTTCCCATTACTATGGAACCAACTTGGACACTGAACTGCCATGGGCTACATCTGTGTAGGGGTTCTAGGTTATTTCCATGAATGGTCCTTGGTTGGAGTATCAGTCTCAGAAAAGACCCCTGGGCCCAGATTTTTTTGTTCTGTTGCTCTCCTTGTGGAGCTCCTGTTCTTTCCAGGTCTTACTATTTCCCACTTCTTTCATAAGATTCCCTGCATTTTGCCCAAAGTTTGGCTATAGGTCTCAGCATCTGCTTTGATATGCTGCAGGGTAGAGTTTTTCAGAAGCTCTCTGTGGTAGGCTCCTGTCCTGTTTCCTGTTATCCCTCTCTTCTGATGTCCATCCTCTTTGCCTTTCAGAATGAGGATTGAGCATCTTACCCAGAGTCCTCCTTCTTGATTAGTTTCTGTATGTGTACAGATTTTAGTATGATTATCCTATATTATATGTCTAATATCCACTTATGAGTGAGTATATACCATGTGTGTTTTTCTGCTTCTGGGATACCTCACTCAGGATGATCTTTTCCAGTTCCCACTATTTGCCTGCAAAGTTCATGGTTTTCTTGTTTTTAATTGCTGAGAAGTATTCCATTGTGTAGATGTACCACAATTTCTGTATCCATTCTTCAGCTGAGGGGCATCTGGGTTGTTTACAGCTTCTGGCTATAACAAATAAAGCTGCTACAAACATGTTTGAACAAATGTCCTTGTTGTATACTTGAGCATATTTTAGATATATGCCTAGGCATAGTATAGCTGAATCTTAAATTTGCACTGTTCCTAATTTTCTGAGAAAGTGCCAGATTGATTTCCAAAGTCGTTGTACAAGTTTACATTCCCACCAGCAATGAAGTGGGTTCACTTTTCTCCTCATCTTTTCCACCACGTGTTGTCACTTGAGTTTTTGATCCTAGCCATTCTCATGGGTGTAAGATAAAATCTCAGGGTTGTTTTGATTCGCATTTTACTGATGACTAGGGATGATGAGTATTTCTCTGCCATTTGATATTCATCTACAGAGAATTCTCTGTTTAGCTCTATACCCCATTTTTTTATTGGGTTACTTTATTTGTTGCTGTTCAACTTCTTAAGTTCTTTATATATTCTGGATATTAACTCTCTGTCAGACCTAGGTTTGATGACCATCCTTTCCCAATCTGTAGGCAGTTGTTTTGTTCTGACAACAGTGTCCTTTGCTTTACAGAAGCTTTTCAGTTTCATGAGGTCCCATTTATTAATTGTTGATCTTACAGCCTGTGCTGTTGGTGTTCTGTTCAGAAAGTTGTCTCATGTGCCAATGTTGTCAAAGCTTTTCCCCACTTTTCTTCTAACAGGTTTAGTTTTGGACTTTAGTTTTCTGCAGGGTGATAAGCATGAATCTATTTGCATTTTTCTACATGTAGACATGCAGTTAAACCAGCACCATTTGTTGAAAATGCTATCTTTTATCCATTGTATGTTTTGGGCATCTTTGTCAAAAATCAGATGTCCATAAGAGTGTGGGTTTATTTGTGGGTCTTCAGTTTGATTCCATTGATCCACCAGTCGGTTTCCATGCCAGTACCAGGCAATTTTTATAACTGTTGCTCTATAGTACAGCTTGAGATCAGGGATGCAGATACCTCCAGAAGATCTTTTATTGTAGAGGATTGTTATTCCATATGAAGTTGAGAATTTTTCTTTCAAGGTCTTTAAAGAATTGTGTTGGTAATTTGATGGGAATTGCATTGAATCTGTAGATTGCTTTGGTACGAAGGCCATTTTTACTGTTAATCCTACCAAGCCATGAGCATGGGAAATCTTTTCATCTTCTGATATCTTTTTCTATTTCTTTATTCAGAGACTGGAAATTTTTTGCATGCAAATCTTTGACTTGCTTCGTTAAAATCAAACCAAGGTACTTTATGTCATCTGTGGCTATTGTGAAGGGTGTTGTTTCACTAATTTCTTTCTCTGCCCTTTTGTCTTTTGTATAGGGGAGGACTAATAATTTTTTGAGTGAATTTTGTATCCAGCCATTTTGCTGAAGGTGTTTAGCAGCTGTAGGAGTTCCCTGGTAGAATTTTTGGGGTCACTCATGAATACTATCTTATAATCTGCAAATAGTGATGCTTTGACTTCTTCCTTTCTAATTTGTAAGTGAAATCTTTGGTGATTTTGTGATTTCATGTTGACAAGGAGACATTAGGTGAGTTTCCTTCAACCTTAGTTACCTGAGATGCAGTTTATATCTAAAAATTTCACAGGGTCTTTGATGAGTCTTTGATGATGGCCAGTTGATTCAGTTTGGTTCAATCAAGGCAGTTTGAATATAAATATCTTTTTTAATTAAAATTTTATTGTTTTTATATTAGTTTATTTACTTTGTATCCTATCTGTAGCCCCTTCCTTATTTCCTCCCAATCCCAACCTCCCTCCCTCACCTCCTTCCTGCCCCTCTCTAGGTCCACTGATGGGGGATGTACTCCTCCCTTTCCATCTGATCCTACCTTATCAGATCTCTTCAGAACTGGCTACAATGTCCTCCTCTGTGGCCTAGCAAGGCTGTGCCTCCTTTGGGGGGGGGTAGGTCAAAGAGCCAGCCACTGAGTTCATGTCGGAGACATTTCCTGTTCCCCTAACTAGGGAACCCACTTGGATACTGAACTGCAATGGGCTACATCTGGGCAGGGGTTCTAGGTTATATCCATTCATGGTCCTTGACTGGAGTATCAGTCTCAGAAAAAAAACCTGGGTCCAGATATATTTTGTCCTTGTGGAGCTCCTGTCCTCTCCAGGTCATATTAACTCCCTCTTCTTTCATATGATTCCCTGCACTCTACCCAAGTTTTGGTTATGAGTTGCAGCATCTGTTTTGATACACTGCTAGGTAGAGTCTTTCAGGGGCCCTCTGTATTAGGCTCCTGCCATGATACTTGTTTTCTCCTAATTTCCAATGTCCATCCCATGTGTTTTTCTAAGTAAAGATTGATCATTTTACCCAGGTCCTCTTTTTTGTTTATCTTCTTTAGGTGTACAGCAGCTTTATTTGTAATAGCCATATCCTGGAAAAAACCCAGATGTCCCTCAACAGAAGAATGGATACAGAAATTGTGGTACTTTTACAATGGAATACTACTCAGCAATTTAAAAAAAGGAAATCATGAACTTTGCAGGCAAATGGTGGGATCTCGGAAAGATCATCCTGAGTGAGATATCCCAGAAGCAGAAAGACACACATGGTATATACTCACTTATAAGTGGATAGTAGACCTATAAGATAGGATAAATTTACTAAAATCTGTACACCTAAATATTTTTCAAGTTAAATGATGCTTCCAATTCCAAGACCCCCTTAGCTCCTACCACATTAAGGTCTGATAACCCCATTTCCCAACATGTGCAGGACTTTATTGATGGGTTTTGCTTACTCCAGACAAATTTATGAAACAGTCAGATTTTCCTCAGATTTGCTTAACCCCCCTACCTGATGTTTCCACCAATGTAATTTTTAAAAGAATTGAGTTAATATTTTGTTTTTCTGAAACTATAAAATATTTGTATTTTAAATGGTACCAGTGGATGCAATTAAAATATAAAATCACTGAACAAAAGTCTTGTGTATACTCAAACTATAACACTCATCAGTTATAATGACTCTGTACCATGTGTTCTGCACTGATTCCAAGCATCTTTCAGAGGTAGTACAAGTCCTATGTACACAAAGTAGTAATTAATTTATAAATACTCTGTGCATTGGTACCCATACTATTCTCATTTCACCTCTACAAACCACTACTGGTATTTCTTAAGATTTTATTTGGCAGGTATATCAGGGGAGTAAAGCTACCTATACACCTTTCTGTGTGCTCAGAAGTGAAAAATCCCTATCAGCTTGTGTTTTTCAACATTAATCCCTATTTTGTGATGCACTCTGGAGAGGTTATAAAACCTCTAGGAGGTACTATTTTTCAAGAGGGCATATGTCTCTCTGAGAAAGCTGTAAGGGTTCATACTGTAGCCCCTTTTTTGTTTGCCTCCTCCCTGTAGACAAAATCTGACCTTTCAGTTTGCTTCTGCTTGCAATGCCACACTTTCTGTGTCATGATAGACTACATACTTTTGGAACCAGATGACCAAATAAACCTTCTGTTTTAGATATCTTTTAGTCACATTATTTTATGACAGTAACAGTAAAGTAACTAACACAGCGTTTGACATATTTCTAGCCAGTCAGGTCAGTTGAATCAACTCTCATGATCAATTTTTTAACTAGACATCAGTGAAATAACAGAGGTGGCAACAACACTGTACTCATTCTATTATGAATGTTTTTTGGAATAATCTGTCATCAAACTTGCAGCCTATTAACTGTTTCTTTCTAGGTATTTTTATAGATACCTATTAAAATAAACTTTCATGTCTGGGACCTGTGAGACTTTATACCTTAAGAGATAGAGCCATAAGCACAGCAAAGCTGGACAGGTGAAAACACTTGCAAGTGGTATAGGAGTCATTGGTGTGCACATGAGAGCATCCCTTAGTAGACCAGCTTCCCCCTTCCTCTGATCCTTCCCAGTGGACACAGAGATGTTCTGCTCTTGAGTCAATGGGCTGTAAAAAAAAAAGTATGAAAGAATATGATTTCTGTTTCATTATTCCAAGTTTCATTCAACTTTAGTTAGGATTTATGACATTAGCTAGCATAGTGATTTAGTACTTGTCTTTCCCTGTCATCTTCTTCTCCTCTAGCTCTTCCTGATCCCTCTGCTATTTCTGCACCTGGATTATAACTTCTCCACCTAGACTTTATTGAGAAAACATATGAGGGAGCATTTCGTATCCTCTCAACTCACATAGATTTTTGTTTCATTATTCATGTTTTATCTCTATAAATATCTCAGTGCCCAGAGAATGAACTCAATTTCTTTTCACTGAAGAAACCAATGAGAGAAATGTGGTGATGTGAGAGATCACTGTTTGAATAGAGATATCAAGTGTCACTGTCAGTTTCCCTTTCTGCTCCAGGCTTCTCTTGGAAGAGGCCAGTTTTTCTTTCCTACCTCTAACTCTTAGTATGCCAAACAATTCTCATGGCCCCATTGCCTTCTTAGGATTCAGCATGATAATAATTTTCCTTTATGGATGTATACAGGTGACTTAGGATTTCATTCCCATTATTCTTCAGGTGCCATTTACAAATAAAAATGTATATATTTAAGTTTGGAGATATACCCATAGAAGTACACGGAATACAAGGATTACTAGAGTCAAGCTAATAAGTATAGTTATCAGCTTCCACTTTAATTTTAGTGACAATCTTGGCTATGTAAACTTTTTGAAATTAATGTATGCAACAATAAAAATTTTAAAAAGAGAGAGACCAGGAATTTGAGAAAGAGCAAAGGTGAATCTGTGCAGGAAAACTGAAAGGGGGAAATAGAAGGAGAGAAATGAGATAATTATATTTCAATTGAAAAAGACAAAGCCGGTATGTGTTACAAGAATATCTTTTGAGTGGAAACAGTTCATTCTTGAAATCAGTAAGTAAACAATTCAGATGTCTCAGGAAAGTTTTGATTCACAATGCTCCAGCTGTCTTGAAGGTTATAAAAGCTGTGAGATTGGCTGAAAAAGGAAGACTCTTTGAACTTCCTGCATGTAGAGATAGACAAGGTTCCAGGTCTCATGAGACCTCAGTCATGCTGGGTTGGTCCTTCTGGTGAGAACCTGTCTTGTTAATATTGTGCTCCTAGGAGAAGCCCCTTTCCTTTATCTTAACAAGTCCATTGCTTCACTGAGTTAGAATTTGCTTTGCCATGGGTTATATATCTAAGGTGAATAAATATTTGTTCTCATCTCTCCAGGAAAAGTGTGACATAACAGATAGACCAAAATACATTACCATAGGGGGCTTAATATGAGTTAAACACATTATGTAAATGTATGAAAACATCATCATTAATCATTATCATATATAAATTTATGCTAATAAAGCATCTAATAATCTCAGGATTCACTTCTACTGTTGCTAAGTCACACTAAGTTTCCCCTATCAGTGGACTTGGGGAGGAGCATGAAAGAAGAAGTAGGAAGGGTGGGACTGGGAGAGGACAAGGAAGGTGGCTACATCTGGGATGCAAAGTGAATAAATTGTAATTAATAAACCTTTTAAAAAGTCTACAAAGTGTTATAACTTAAAGTTTGTACTTTTTGGCTCATGTTTCCCCATTTCTCTCACATTTTGTAGAAGGCACTGTTGTACAGAAACTATAAAATCTACTTTTTGCTTTCCAGTGTGAGTGTGCTCATGAAGGGTTTGTTGGAGTTAACCTTCAGGTTGAGGCACTGAAATGCAAGGTTGTTTCTCTGCTTCTTTTATTACTACTTTTATTTTTAAAATTATAATTACGTCATTTCTCCTGTGTTGACTACATCTGTAATTAACTAAAACCAAAGCACTTGGGCATACATGTGAGGGAATTTTTTCATGGTTGCATTATTTGAGGTCTGGAGAATGCCCCAAATCTGAGCCACATTTTCTCGTGGCAGCCCACATAAAACAAACATGAAAGAAGGCTGCTACTGTTTTTTGCATCTTTGTCCTCACTCTTGCTGGCAAGTTCATCTATTCTGGTGCTGAGACATTCTTTCTCTGGTGTTAAGACATACTTCTTCAGGATTCCAGTGTAGACTGAAGACCAGCAGATCTCTAGGACATCCCTGGAACTGTGGCACCAGACTGGAACTCCTGAGACATCCAGTCTCATGAGCTGAATGACTGACCAAGTAATTAAACAACTATTGGATCCTTAGCTTTCTGTTATTTTATTATTTCTGTTCTTTTAAAAAAGCCTGGCTTATATGTTACTTTTTTCCCCTTTCTCTAAACACTCTCATTTACCCCTTCTTGCTCTCTTTCAAATTCATGGCCTATTTTTCCCTTATTCTTTGTTATAACACATTTGTATATGTATATAGATATATATTCCTAAACACAAACTGCTTAATCTATATAGTGTTACTCGTATGAATATTGTCAGAGCTGATTATTTGATATTATATTACCCAAAGCTATAAAATAGTTTATTATATTTTTTTGCATTTTGTTTACATATCCTGTCCTCAATGGATGTATTTTTCACTGAAGCCTTGGTTGTTGATGATAGTAATGTTACTATCATCATGGGAGCACAATATCTTTCCAGCACCTTTCCAATTTTGGATTCACGCAGTAGGGTGACTAATAGATCACACTGCAGTTTTCTTTCTTAATTTGATGGGTTCTATATCATTTTCCTTAATGGCTAGACAATAGATAATCTCAACCACAATGTGAAAATGTTTCCTTTTTCTACATTTTCATCAATACACACACTTGAAATTTTAAAAATCATTTAACTTATATTTATTGTTCTCTTCACAGTTCCATATGTTTAAAGTATATTTTCATTAGTGTGTCTCCTCACCCTTTTTAACCTTACTCGCAGCTTCACTGACCATAGCTTTCCATATTTCCTTTGCCAACATTAAAGTCTCTTGTTTTATTTCAATTGCCACTGAAATTAAATTGAATCATGTATGTGACCACAGGCTTTAAAGTACTCATTTGAACCTAAGGCCATAACTGAAAACATAGTTTTCCTACAAGAATCCTTCACCAGGAAAGGTGGTGCCTATGGACTCCTTTTTGAACCATGATTTATTGATTATTGATATAAAATATGGACCATAACAGTAGTAAAGTTACACAAGCTTGATAATTTCTCCTACTTTTCAATGATCACATTTAGATTTCATCCCTTCTGAAAAAAAATTTAGAGCCCTTTAAGCACTTCACAGAGAGAATGATCTCTCAGCACTTAATAGAACTAACTGCCCTTACAGAGGACCTGTTTCCATAGCTAGCACCCATATTCTGTCCCATACTGTCAGGAAGTCTAGTTATAGGAGATCTGATATTATCTGTGTCTTCGGTGACCACTATATGCCCACAGTGCAAAGAAGTCCATGCAGACAAAACACTCGAGCACATGACATAAAAATAAATCTTAAAACAGTTTTTAAATGCCACTTTAAGAGTAAGCTCACCTGAATATTTTGTAAAGTCAGGAGCACAGGTTCAGACAGGATAGGTTTGGTTTCTGAACAAATGGCACCACTAACAATAAGAGAATTCAGTTTTACTTCCCGAATTCCTTCTTTGTTATTAAAAAAGGATCCATTTAGAATATTTCCAAGAGACTTATATGTAATAAGAGCAACAGCAGTATCATCTGACAAAATAAAAGAAATCATATCAGACATTACCGAATGTTTTACATGTTGTACACAAATATCTTACATGAGGATCATGTAGTAAACATAACGTATTTATTAAAATTACCCATAAGCATAACTTCAATTGCATGTACAACACACTATAGATAGTGGTAGGCATGGAATTTCACACACACAGCATATGCACACATATGTATTATATATGTATGTGTGAGTATGTATGTATATGTATCTACATATATATATGTTCTGGTTAGTTTTGTGTCAACTTGACAAAACTAGAGCCATTGGAGATGGAGGAGCCTCAAATGAGAAAATGTCTTCATAAAACCAGGCTATAGGCAAGCCTGTAAAACATTTCTTATTGAATGATTTATGTGGAAGGATCCAGTCTAGAGTGGATGGTGGCATCCCTAAGACAGTGGTTCTGGGTTCTGTGAAAAAGCAGCCTTAGAAGAAAAGCCATAGAAGAAAAGCCCATACAGAGAACCCCTTCATGTCCTGTTCCCAGATTCCTGCCCTGAGTTTCTACTCCGACTTCCCTCAGTGAAAGACTGTTACCTGGAATGCAAGTAGAATAAACGCGTTCTCCCCAAGTCACTTTTCTCATTACAGAAATAGAGACATAACTAAGACAATGTATGTGTGCGTAAAATCATTATAGATAGATAGATAGATAGATAGATAGATAGATAGATAGATAGAGATATATAAATGATACAAATGATAAAGACACAGATATATAGATTAGATGATATAGATAGAGATAGAGACAGAGATAGATATCTGCGTGTATGTATATGTATAGTATATGTATGTGTGTATGTATAATATATAGTGTGTATGCGTGTGTTGTGTGTACATGTGCATGCTTATGTGTGTTGTAAAACATGATAAGCAATTACCTGTGCTCCAAAGGACAAGTAAACCAAGGAAAAAAAGATTAGCACCTTAGGTTCTCTCAAAGTTACCTAATTCCTTCTCAGTTCATTGCTGTTCTTTTCTTTGTATATAAACATTACTTTCCTCTGAACATCTCCCTCACTCTCTCATCTTTTCCCCTTTCTCTTTCGTTCCAGCTTACTTTTCCCTCTCATTTTCCTCTCATTTATTTTCATCTTCATGGAATCAGAAGTTAATTTATAGAAGTTAAATACCCAACCTCCAATTATCCATGTGTTTTTTTATTTTACAGTGTGTGATTAGATGGTTCAGAGGTTAAGAGCAATGGCTTTTCTTCCAAAGGTCCTTAGTTCAATTCCCAGCAACCACATGTGTGGCTCATAATCATCTACCAAGATCTGGTGCCCTCTTCTGGTGTGCAGGCACACATGTAGGCAGAAGGCTGAATAAATAATTAATAATTTTTTTAATTCAATTTTTTAAAATTTTTTCTTATCAGTTACATTTTATTAACTCTGTATCCCAGCCGTATCCCACTCCCTCATTCCCTCCCAATCCCACCCTCCCTCCCTCATCTCCACCGTGCCCCTTGCCAAGTCCACTGATAGGGGGGGAACCTCCTCCCCATTCATCTGATCCTGTTTTTATCAGGTATCTTCAGGACTGGCTGCAAAGTCCTCCTCTGTGGCCTAACAGGACTGCTCCTCCCTTGAGGGGTGGGGAGGTCAAAGAGCCATCCATTGAGTTCCTGTTAGAATATTTTAAAAAAGAAAAGAAAAAAAAAGAGAAATCTGACAGTGGTGGAGAATTCCTGACAGAAAATTAAAGATGCAGTCTGCCTACCAAATGATGTTGGGAGGTTAAAACCAGAACAGAATTCTATCACTGAGACAGATGAGCCTATATTTAGTGCCCCCCTTTTAAGATATGAATTGCAGTACAGGGAAATTAGAATGGTTGGTGAATGTTCTCTCTAATAAAAGCAAGGGAAGCAGTCATGCCAAAGCAGAAAGCAATGCTCTTTGGCTAGCCTTTGACCCATCTCCTGTTTTAGACCAATGTTGATCACCACTTCTGTTATCATTTATTCTCATTTTAAAATCAACTCAGTTCTAGAACTTTTTCTTTTTTGCATTTATAGTTTAAAATGAGGAGGAATGGTGTGGGTGTGATTAGAAATTTCTGGAGTAAATACAGCAGGCCTGACTTCTTTTTCATGATAACCAGATACTTCTATTTGAAATTGTTCATATGCATTTTTTTCTTCTTTCCTTCCGTACATCCCCCTACTCCTCCTTTCTTTCCTGACACATTTATTAAAGATGATGTCAAACACAGCCTACCTTCTGTCTTTTCACGGGAAGTTCTATTGACACTGCTATGGCCATTGAACATCATCTATGCCTGAATTCACACACAGACACACACACACACACACACACACACACACACACACACACAGAAAAGTTGAATAGCTATGACAAACAGCTCCAGTGCCAATCCTATAGTATTTGCCATGTGGTTTTCTTTTTTTAAATAATGAAATTTCCAAGATAGAGAGCAGCTGAGGGCAACTGAGTAATTCCTTTTTAAAGTAAGTTTATAAAACAAGTCTCAAAAGCAATGATAGTCAAGGCAATGATTTCCTGGCACCATTGAGTGTTAGTATGGCAGCATACTGAAATATGACAAGGTTGTCTTTGTTCAAAAAGCACAGCAGCATGACTCTGTTATTACCTTAATGTATGTTGCAAAAGATGTTGTCCCTAGGAGAGACCCTCAGTTTCATCACCATGCATACCTATTGAGTCAAGGAAGATCTTTTCTACCTATTCTTAGAGTCCTTATCCCTTGAAAACTGTGAGTACATGTCCCTTGTACAGTCACTTTGACAGAAGACAATGCTCATATTAAAATATCACCTCTAGTCTTGTTTTCTTTGAAAGCAAGAGTGCAGTCAATCTTCATTGTGTTATTGCCAGCTTCCAGAAGAGCCATTCTGTTGCACTTCTTAGTTTCATACACTGAAAGCAATGAAACAATGTGTTCTGTTGCAAATAATAATAATAATAATAATAATATAATAATGATGATGATGATGATTATAATAATAATAATAATAGAATACTAATCAAGTTGCTGGGGAATTCCTTTATTTGAGAGTATGATTTTATATACTTTTCACCAGTCAAATTTGTAATCACTTAGAGGGTGATTTATCCACTTGTCATTAATTCTTTGACTATGAAATGCTTCCTAATAAAGCCCACATGCTGAAGGTTTTGTCCTCAGTTTTCTGGCTAATGATAGGTCATTGATTGATCTTGAAAATTAAGTTAATCAGTTGTTTTACATAACAAGAACAAGAGCTGGAGAACACTGAATCAATATTAACATATGAAAGGAGCCAGATTGCAAAGAACATTGGGTATCTTTCTTCTCCCAAGCCTCTTCCAAAACTCCTGTGCTGTACACACCTGGAACAAGCATTGCTATGTAAACATCTTACCAAGTATTGTGTACCTCATGCCTCAGGACTTTGTTGGATTCTTTTTGAGGCCTCTAATACCGTCCCTTTAATGAATTATAACTTGATTCACATATTGATCATATTTTTGTAAGATTCTAGAAACTATACTGTGGATTGAGTTGTAAGAGGTAAGCTACTGTTGGTTTGTCTTTGAACAGAACTCTGTTTCTTGCTGTATCTGACTTATGTTCACAATTTGATAGAACCATGATGCTATGTCTTATTGTGCATGGACCCATTGTCACCAAACCAAGTGGAAAACTGTGACTCAACCCCCACCAGGTAAACATTTCATGCTTGAAGTGGATATGACTAGGTATTCTGTGATAGTGATGAAATGTGATTAACTCATCCTTGATTCTTTCTTGTGAGTAAAGATTGCTATTCATGTGGGAGGTTTATTTACCGAGCCTTCAATTCTGGAAAATAACACCTTCTATACTTCATAGGCCATGAGTGTACCAGGTCCCACTTTTCTCTATGGCATTGTATAACTCAACTTGCTGTTTCTTACCAAATATAGAGTTTTCACCCTTTGTTGGTGTAGCTGAGTTTTCATTCAGTATGTGGAGTTCCACTTGGTGAAGAAACTTGGTAGCCTCTTTTGCAGCATCCTCTTTGGTTTCACATTCACTCAGTTCTCCCTTTCAAACAAATATCACTAATTATACGAATTCTTACCAAAACTTAAGGAAGAAGGAATGGAAGTTTTGCTGGCTGATTCCGGAAGCCAATAATGTTAGTCAGTATGCTGTGGGAAGAGTGGGCATTTTAACACCCAATAAATGTCTTTGACTGACAGCTGAAGTTTGATAAATCTACCCTATTGTAGTTAATTCTCATGACAACAAAATTTGCCACTCACATATTTCCACCTTTACCAGGAACAGAGGACAAAATAGACTATAGGTGAGAAGTACGCTACCATAAAAACCATAGTGAGATGGTATAGTGCTTAAGCAAGAGAATGACACAACAAGGCAGAGGAAATGATTCCCAACCCCATTCTTTGCTCCACTCACCAAACTGCACATTGTTGATTCTGTTTTTCTCCCATTGTTCACTGGAAAAAAATTATATTTAAGTCATATATTCGGAAAAAAGCATGTGCTCCACATTCATTTTCCAATCACCCTCAAGGTAGATCTTTTTCTGGTTGCTTATCCATGTTGTTATTTTTTGTTGCTGCTTCTTTGTTTGGTTTGTTTTTTTGTTTTTTTTTTTGAGAGAAAGAACATAAAATTGCATAGATAAGGAGAGGAAAGCAACTAAGGCAATTTGGGAGAGGGAAAAGAATATGATAAAAATGTATTTAGAACATGAATTCTCAAAAATGTATTTTCAAAATAAAATTATTCTCAAAAATAAGTTAAAACATTAAAAAAGAAGTTGAAAATTTTCATTGTAGCTGAATTTGTGAGTTATTTCTATTTTGATTATATATATATATATATATATATATATATATATATATATATATATTCTTTGTTCATACTATCTGTTATTTTTCTCTTATATCATTTCCTACCTCTCACCAAACCCTTTCTTATTCCAAAGCCCTGCTACTTTTTTATATATTTGCTATGTGTGGTCTAAGGTACGCTTTTACTGTGTTAGAATTTTGAAGGGGACATAGTACTGCTGCTGTGCAGTTATCTCCTCTGAATTGAAATGTTCTCTGCTGGAAGGCACATTGAAATTCACTAGGTAAACAAAACTAAAAAGCCTCAAGAAGCTCAGAAAACTTAAAATCTTCCCAAGTCCCCCTCCCTTGGCTATACAAGCAACAACAATTGCAGAGTAGAAAAGATTCTCTAGTTAGATAAGATGAGCTAAAGGATTTGCTCAAGGAGCTCCATGTGTACAAGTAGTTGCCATTCCCGATGGATGGGCTTTTTTATATAGTTGCTTTTGATTAATCCATGTACCTACTAGTAACCTCTCAAAGACATTCTTGTAACTCCAGTAAACTCATTTGCTCAGTAAGTTAGACATGGGTAGAATAATTTTTTTTAATCAATAGTGTTCTACCCAAAGTGAATAGATAACTTATTTATATCATCCAGGAAAAGTCATATGGCACTGACTTAACCAGAGATGATTTGGAAAAGAACAGCATGTGGCTCCAGTGATAGACTGTGGGGCATGTAACAGTGGCTTGTGTTTGTGAGAATGGGTTTTTGTAGAGGCAATCCCAAAATGGGATTCCTCATATAATATAGCATGATGTGCCTTCTTGCTGTAGTGGTGGTATCATGCTCCCTGTGATGGAAAGTGGGATATGCCACTAAGGGTAAGCTGTCAGGGAGTTGAGTATCTGTAGATGGAATCACAGTGTGGCCATCTTCTATTTGGTATATGGTAGCAGGCACCATTGATTATTGGAATCCATCAAGCGAGTGTCGGAATGCCCACCAATTTGCTGATAGAACAGAAAATATTCTACAATCATGAAAGTAGCATGTGGTGGAGGAGACCATAGACACTCTGTGGCATCCATTGCTTGTTCTTTGCTATATGAAATAAGATATGCAAGTGAGTTCATGTTTCTTTCTAGAAAGAGCATGGTAGATAAGAGAGGAATCGCATTAAGAAAGAGCTTTAGAGTGGCTCTTCCTGGGATGCAAAAGCATGAAACTCATGGAAAGAATGGTAATGAGTGGATTATGGCAAAATGAGAGAAGATGGCACTAGGTCTGATTTTCAACAGAAAGAAAGAGAATTTCACAATTCATAGGCAGACAGCACTTTTATTAATAGTTCAGTATGAGAAACAATGTAATATTTATAAGTAATATTCTGCATCTGACATGAATTGGGTACGACTTTTAAACAAATAAGCAAGATATGTAAGATCTTTTATAACCTTGCTAATGAGGCTGTGGGACAGACTGATGAATATGATCACTCTAAATGCTGTGAAATCTAAAAAATAATTATTATAATTTTATATCTCTCCTTGAAACAAAGAATGCATAATCTAAAAATACAAAAATAGGAGTCAGAATTTCAGGGCCATTATGCAAAGGCTGTTGATGATATCTGCTTATTAACAGGTAAGATTTAATTGGTTGAAAGATACTAGAAGGGCAGTCTAGGAAACTGAGCATTAGAAAGGTAGCATTTGATATCCAGTTAATTGCATCTAATAGAACTTTATTCACAGATTCCAGAAAGATGTTGATTTAATAGTTGGCTTGGGCCAGCTATGAGCCATTAATAACTTTGCTAAGTCCTATGGAAAACTGAATCATTTATGAGGTAAAGAAGTTTTAGAAGACAGGAATGATTTTGTGTGACTTATAAACCAGGTTCTAAGGTTGTTATAGTAATCAAGAGAGGAAGAAAGAAAGTTAAAGCTGTAAAAAAAATATGTGCTAGAATCACTGGATGGTAAATGTAGAAAGACTAATATCAAGCTAGAGTTCCAAAACAAGAAATTATTAGAAATCCAACTGCTGTGCTAGGAAGCTTTTAGATGCCTTAAAAGCCTTAGCAGATGTTCATGGAAGGAAAGAATAAGCTTGATTTGGAGTGGGTTTCTTCCCCCCCCCCATTGTATATGTCATAAAATTGATAAGATGTGAACAAAATGTTTAGCCATCCTGGGGCCATTTGACATGTCAGGTGTAGCCAGTGGACAGTAAAGAACCATGGTTCTGTTTTAATTTGTTGAACTAAGAAGCCATTGGCAGCACTAGGCAGAGGTGGTTGAATAGAGCTTAGCACCACAAGGCAGATGAGTGGAGATGTACAGCAATGCAGCAGATCATTGAGGAGGATGAGAACACATAAAATATGTCTGTGTGAAGCAGAGGGCAACAGTGGGTAAAGTCTCCTTCTATGTTGCTGCACCGATATTGTCATTTTGATGAAAAAAACTTACAGAATGGATAAGATGACTTTGTGTTTTGATAGGCCTTGCTAATGGTTCCTTTTTAGTGACCAACTAGAAGTTAGATAGATTGAATGGTGGTGGGTGTCAGATGTCCTATGTACCCTCATTTTAAAAGTTCACTATGCAATACTAAAAATTGAGAGTCTTGTAAGTTTGTAAAACAGTTAAAAGAACAAGGAGCAGTATTGTGATAGAATATGTCTCATCAGAGAACATAAAACTAAGTAAAAATTCTTGTGCCAGAGGTGACCTGACTCCACTGTGGGCTACTCCCAAGTCCCACAAATCCTAAAGACTATCACCAATACCGTGGGTTAGATGGCAGAACTTGATCATAAAATCATATTGCTAATGACAACAACATTTTTTGGCTGAGGGACATGGAGAAATTAAGATGAGGCAGACTAGAAGAATACTCTCCCTTGTAGATTAATTTTCAAAGTGATCAAAAGTATAATGTAGCCTTTGCAAGTGACTTTTCACCTATAATTTTGATTGACTATAAATGTTACAGGCTATGCTACTAAATTCAGGTAAGGTATACTCACTGTTGCAATCATGGCTGTTATGGCTATAATTCACTGCTCTCTAACTGGAATTAAGGTCCCTTTCACAAGGTGAAACTCATATTTCGTTTTGTCAAAGGGGACAAAAGTCCCCTTTGTTTTGTCCATGGGGACAGAAGTCAAAGTCCCCATGGAGACCATTGCTTTGTACTGTTAAATGAATGTATAAGTTTGCCAAATTGTCTCCTAAATGTTAGTCATTGAGGAAAACTTCTTTATTGCAGGTGGAAATATAGTGCAGAGACTCATAACTGAGCTATCTCCACAAAGCAGTTCTTCCTCTTACACAGTCATCTGATGCTCTAACATGGAGGAAGGAAGATAATCATTATCAATATCATCCTACCATAGGCTTAGGAACATTGAAGAAGAGTTGGCAGAAATATGGTGAGAGCCAAAGGAAAGGAGAATGAAGGGTTTATGGCAATTTCCTTAGATTTGGAATGTTCGATTCTGGAGGAGAGCTTGCTAAGACTTGGGAGTAAGCAACACCAACCAGTATCAAAAAAAGTCATGAAACTTAGAAGATCCCCAAGGTCACTCCCCATGGCTACCTCCGGCAATAGTAAGTCTAGGGAGAGAAAACTCTTCAGTCATCTCAGTGCCTAAACTTCGTGAAGGAGATCCAGGGGTGCAGCTTTTGTGAGCTGCCATTCATACTGGACTAGGAATTTTAGTACTATGACTGCCTTTGTGTGATTCCTGCTCCTGAGAATAACTTCAGTAAACTTGTTCATTCACCTATGTTCTTTTACCTATGCTAAATAGGTAATGTAATTTCTCTCATTGTCTACTGGTGTCTTATCTCAGGAAAATAGATATATACTCATTTCCAAAGAAAAACTCACACCACAGAGAATCTGCCAGTTTAGCAATTAAGTCAAATGTACCCATGGAGTAGCTGCTCACAACTAAACAGTGTATAAAGACACTTGAATGTATGCTAGTGAAAACCCAAGCATACTAATTTGCAGTATTTCCAGTCTGGAAGGAAAGTCTTTTTTTTTTCTTTTTTTATTATTATTAATACTATTATTAGTTACATTTTATTAATTCTGTATCCCAGCTGTATCCTGCTCCCTTATTCCCTCCCAACCCCACCCTTCCTCCCTCATCTCCTCCCTGCCCCTTCCCAAGTCCACAGATTGAGGAGGACCTCCTCCCCTTTCGTCTGGCCCTGTTTTATCAGGTATCTCAAAGTCCTTCTCTGTGGCCTAGCAGGACTGCTCCTCCCTTGGAGGGTGGGGAGGTCAAAGAGTCTGCCATTGAGTTCCTGTCAGAAATAGTCCCTGTTCCCCTTACTATGGGAAACCCATTGGTTACTGAGCTAGCATGAGTTTTGTCCGAGCAAAGGTTCTAGGTTATATCCATACCTGGTCCTTGGTTGGAGAAAAAACCCTGTGCCCAGCTATATTTGGTCCTTGTGGAGCTCCTATCCTTTCCACATCATACTAACTCCCCTTCTGCTGAATTTCAACACTGAGTTGTGGAGTAAAGTCATAAACTCCAGGGCAACTGTACTTCTAAGAATCATCTTGATTGAGTGAAAAAGACTTGGGTGCAGCTACCTCTGCTAACCCAAGACTAGACCTATAATCATAAAGCTGTGCAAAAGTAGGTTTATTTATTCTTTTATTCTGTAAATTCTGGGATAACTTGTTATTTAGAAATGTGTAGGCAACAGAGTAAACTCTGTTTTTATTCCTATTTGATAGATGACTCTGACCAAAGAATATGCCAGCACTAAGAAGAAGGATTAGACATAAAATCCTCACCGTAAACAAGAATCTCAATGAAGTTGATACCTGCTAGGAAAGGGAAGCTGAGTTTTCTTCATCTGAGTGTCAATGAATGTATCAACTATGCTCTAGTGCAGGACCCATGTCTAGGTATATTTGGCCACTATAAAACAGACTACATAATTGTGTGTGTGTGTGTGTGTGTGTGTGTGTGTGTGTGTGTGTGTGTATTTTGTTTCATTTTATGTTGTGGTAGTTTTTGTCTTGTTGGGTTTTGTTCTGTTTTGCTGCTGTTTTTTGAGATAGAGACAGAGACAGAGAGAGAGGGAGGAAAGAAGAGAGAGATACAGAGACAGGACAGAGACAGATACAGAGAGAGACAGAGAGACCTGAAACTCAGTGGGAACAAATGAGGAGAGGACCTGGAAGGTGTGGGAGAAAGGAAAACAAAGTTTATTGTAGGAAACAAGCTTAAATATTTTTTTAAAAAATTGTATACTAAAATCAATTTGTAAATGGAAGCATGACCTCTTCATGAAACATCATTTAAAGTATGATATTCTACATGGCCTGGGCAATAAAATGTATTCTGAGTCTTGAGAAGTTGATTTGTCATTGCTGTAGAAAGAAGTCACACATATAGGAATGCTTAGGAATATTAGCATGAACTCATGGTGTTTACTGTGACTACAGATTGGCATGTGAACTAAATTTGGTATTAGTGCAAGATGGAGAAGCTATGAAGTTCAGAAGAAAATCACATCTGTCCTTTTGGAGATCAAAGGAACAGAGCTGCATTGGAGACAAATTTGGAAGATGTCTATTGGAAACAGATATTTGATCCCATGAGTTAGATGTCATTTCTTTGAAAATATAGCAAAGGGATGAGAAATAAAGAAAAGAATAAGTTTACTATTCTAGCCAACAGTGGCATAGCTGTTGTAAGCTCTACATTATATATATATATATATGTGCTTTACATATATTTAAATACATGAATAGACTTACCATAACAATCAGGATGATCAATATCAATAATCCCAGCTATCCAGTTGAACCAAGGATATCTTACTATACAGCTGCATATGTAAGTCCCGATCTTATTTTTACAGTATGATACATCCTTACACAGTGGCTCCAATAAACATTCATCAATATCTGCAAATCAAGAGATATTGCTTGTTTTTATTTTCATAAGGCTGTACCTCTTTGTCTTACCTGTATTGTCTCTTTTGCTGGACTTCATTTCTAGTCTTTGTTAAGCTAAATTCTTTGTTAGGCTAAACCAATATAATAAACATGACCTTTACTTAATTTATAAACATAATGCACTTCTCCCGCAATAACCATTTTTATTATGTCTCCAAACATATTATAAAAACAATTTAACTCTACCTAGCAGTGTTTCAAAGCAGACACTAAGACTCATAACCAAACCCTGGGCAGAGTGCAGGGAATCATATGAAAGAAGGGAAGTTAGTATGATATGGAAAGGATACGAGCTCTACAAGGACCAAATATATCCGGGCACAGGGTCTTTTCTGAGACTGACACTCAACCAAGGACCGTCTATGGATATAACCTAGAACTTCTGCTCGGATGTGGCCTGTGGTAGCTCAGCAACCAAGTAAGGGGAACAAGGACTATTTCTAACAGGATCTCAAGGGCAGGCTCTTTGATCCCCCCCAGGGGAGGAGCAGTCCTGTTAGGCCACAGAGGAGGACTTTGCAGCCAGCCCTGAAGATACCTGATAAAACAGGGTCAAATGAAAGGGGAGGAGGTCCTCCCCTATCAGTGGACTTGGAAAGGGGCAGGGAGGAGACCAGGGAGGGAGTGTGGGGTTGGGGAGGGAATGAGGGAGCGGGATACAGCTGGGACACAGAGTTAACAAAATGTAACTAAAAAGAAAAATAAAATTAAAAAAAATTTAAGGGAGGAATTGCTTATTTTGGCTTGTTGTATATGGGTGCAAAACAGTCCTTGATAACAGAAATACTTTTCCACTGGCAGGTGATGCAGTTGGCCACCCTGCATATGCAAGCAGGCTGCAGAGAGAAGTGAATGCTGCTACTTAGCTGTTTTAGTACTTTTTTGCCTTTATATTCTGTCTGTAATTCCACTCTGTGGAATTCTATCATTCACATTCTGTGTATATCTTTCTTCTTCAGTTAAGGAAGACTGGAAAGATCCTCATAGACATGTATTCAAGTTGTTAGTGAAGATTAAATTATCACAAATATCAATAAAAAGCTTACCCATGTTTTGTAGAAATACACCCCCAAGCAATGACAAAAAAGGATTATAAGGTGGGCAACAGCCTTCTAGACATTGAAATACCCTATATAATATGCAAAATATTGATGATATATTATTGGGTGAAGGAAGAAAACAATCTGAATAATGAACTAAACGCTAAGAAATGGATTCTAGGACATACTAGGGCAAATGAAGTTTAAAGTGCTGGTAGCAGTAATTTGTCTAATACTATATCAAATCTCCAAAATAAGGGTTGAATATCTTCTTTAATACTGATTCATGTAGTTTGTGAAATTGACATTAAACATACACTCAGCAACAAGATAATGATTGTCATTTAAATAGTAAATGGTCTCCATAGGTTGAGATATTTAATATTTGATCTCTGTTGGTGGTTCTATTTAAGAAGGTTATCAGAAGAAGAATATCCCTGGGGATTCTTCAAGGGTTTTTACCTTCTCCCACATCCTCCTTAATACTTCTGATTCCTGTGTGTAGTGAAGATGTGACATATCATCTCTAACTGCCTCATGCTATGGCTTTCTACCATTATGGACTTTTTCCCTGGTACCATTAGCCAAAAAAAACCCTCTCTTCTATAAATTGCTTTTGGTTGTGTCATTTATTACAGCAAGGGAAGTATCACTTATACAGAAGTTGAGAGACTAAATAAATAGCCTACTGTTTAAGAACACTGACCATTCTTGCAGATGACCCAGGTACAGTTCCCAGAATCCACCTGGCAATTGACAACCATATGTAACTCTAGTTACAGTACATCTGGTGCTTCCTTCTGAATTTCATGGGCACTTCATGAATATGGTCTCTAGACATACACAAATACAGGCAAATACCCATATACATAACATAAAATAGAAAAGGAAGTTGATACTAGAAAGTGGAGTTATTTTTATAATTGATTCAACTGTGCTGTCTTTTTGAGGAATGCAAAAGACTTTGTATGTGCTAGCAACCTTGCAGAGATTTATTAGCTGTTATTGCCAGACCACAAAATACAATATTGCAGAGAGTTATGGTGATATTAGAGGCCTGGAGAGATCTCAGAAGGTAATAAATTCTCTATTAACCTTTGAGTTAGAGGCCACTGTATTATACTTTGGCAAAGAATCTGTCTATTTCTGCCCTCATCCTAATAAGTGACAGTTTAAAATAAAAAAATGTTGATTAATTTACTATCAGAGGACATTTTAAGGCAGCACAGTTCTGAATCCATGCCTGGTTATTACTGATTATCTTTATCAGAAAGTAAGAGAAAAAGAAAGTTAAAGTGTGCACTGTAGAAAGAAAAGATCTGTAGAAATGTATACCAAAAAGGAGACTCTAATTATTGGAGATCAGAACCATATAGGTTAGACCTCTTGGTCTGCAGTGGAACATTTGGATGGGAGCCCTGAGGACAAGACTACAACCCGCTAAGGATATGTAAAAAGAGAAGACCCAAGAAGCTTCTTCTCCTAGAATACATACCAACTATATTGCAAATGTGATCCAAGGAGGAGGGGTTTCCTCTTAAACTTGCAGCTGATCTTGGCATTGCTCCAACTAAGATATCAGCTTTGCAGGCATTAATGGTGCAGGAATGAAGGTGTCATGAACACTTTTGCTATTATTTCAGAGAGTCTCTGAGGGCAAGCAAAGTGTTGGAAGGATTGAGTCCATTAGAGAACACCATGAGAGCCTACTATGTGAATTGTAAAAGCAAAACCTGCATTTAGTGGATATCTAAAGATTTGAGTTACCAGGCTATGAGATATGTGCTAAAAAGAGGTGCACACAGGAAGTGGAATGAGAGAGAGACAGCGTTTCAGACAGCAAGCTTGGGGGAGCAGAGCCATCTAAGTCTTTAGTAACTTAATAACTAAAGGCTCGTATGTCAGACATAGAACTACAGCATTTGAGGGTCACCCTGTTGTGTTTCATTTGCTTCAGTGCAATGTTTCTTCATTATGCCCCCATTTCTTCTCTTTGGAAAGGTGATATATACATACGCTGTGCCATACTATATTTGAAGCATACTATTTGTGTTTTGATTTTACAAGGTTACAGCTAAGAAAGCTCTGAGTCTCAGAGGAGAATTTAAACTTTGAATTTTGGAACACTGTTGAGACAGTGAGAAACTGGAGATATATTTAAAGTTGGTCTAAAAACACAGTTTGGGTACCATGAACCTATGTACCCAAAGTGTCAAATGTTTAAGTTCAAATGAAATTATGTTTCTCTCCCCCTCCCATAGGCTAAGGATTTTGAAATATTGGCCACAGTTTGTAACACTGACACTATAAGTTATGGAAACTTTAAAATGTGCACCTTTACTGAAACAAGTACTCTACTGAGGTCTTTGAGGGTTGATAGTCTAATTCCATTTTTGTTCATTTGTTGTTTCCTTTGTGTAAGTAAGATATGAATTCTCAGGTTCTGGATACTGTTAGGTCCAAAGGGAACTCCAACTCCCCAAACTTCAAAAAGCAATCCAATGAGCTCATCCTAGACTATAGAATGATTTCTGACAGATAAAACCCAACATTTCTTAGGACCTTGTGAAACTGATTCCCATTTACTGAAATGTGTCATTTTCTTTGACTCTGGCGGAATGGACATATGGCTGGTTATTGTGGTACCTATTAACATATTAAACTCATGCTTATCTCTAGGCTTACTCAATAGCACATGTATGTTACATATTTCAAAGTTTATGCTAGTATCCTTACCTTTCTCATCTCCTTAAAGTCAATACAACTCATGGGCTACCTCTCCATCTATTCATTCTCCTTATAACCCTGCTATTCTCTATCCCTCTTTCTCTATCCTTGTCTCCCTCTCTCCCTCTCTTCTCTCTCTCTCTCTCTCTCTCTCTCTCTCTCTCTTTCTCTCTCTCTCCTTTTTGGGAGCTATGCAAGAGGAACAACAACACAGCTTTAGAACACATGCAATGTGGCCCAGCAGTTAGCACAACCACAATGGCTACACCTTGGAAAGGTAGAGCCCTGAGGAGTCTACCTGTGGTGAGTCCTGTGTGTGTGTCCTGTGGACTTCATCCTGTTGTAGAGTATTCCTCTGCTTGTTGCTTTCATGTTTACCACACCCCTTCCAATCTGTCAGTTGTATGAAAATTCTAAGGAGGATTTTAAACCTCACTGGGCAGTATCACTGACACTTGCAATAACAGTACTTGGCCTTTCTCAGGTTTTGCAGATAAACAATTCACCTGCCACCCTTAGAAAGAATTTAGAGATGTAGATTGTTAGCAATGACCACCGCTTTTAGATTATATATATATATATATTTTTTAGTGGCTCTGATGCAGAAAATCATAGGAAACAATTTGAATTTCAGAAAGGCACACTCTTAATAATTGAGCTAGGTATTTTGGGGGGTCAGGAGCAAGAACAACAGCAGCCTAACTGGCACTAGCTGACTTGCCTTTCTCTTGATAAAGGTGGGCTGGTCATCAAGGTGATGATTGATTTCTTGTACCCATTTTTACCCTCAGTTTTCTGATATGGTTTAATAAAACTGTTAATGAATAGATGTGCACCTTGAAGATTTAAAGTAGAAATGACTGATTTTTTTATATTTGTGATTCTTTTGAGATTTTTATAAGACTGTTTCTTAATATAAATAGTAAGATAATTGATCTTTTCTTTGTAACTGCAAATGGCAGCCTTCCAGTAAAAGAAACTGGTGGAGAAAATTGCCTTGCTTACTTACTCTTTGTTAATCTATAACAAGTTTGTTAGTTATAAATGTATGTGGGTTCTTGGGAATAACTTGTTTTTCACATTTGTTTTTCTCCCACACTATGTAAAACATTTGATCATGTGTAGTAATTGGGGATCTTGTTTTTTTTTTTTTCTACATATACTCCTTAAAATCATTCAAAGAAAACTAAAATGTAACGACACTGTGATTTTTGTACTGCTTGAAAGATTTTTTTTCTGGGCTATATAAGCTGTGGGAGGAAAAATGAAGTTTTTTGAGTTCGCTCCATTCACCAAATGTGTATCTGTATATATGTAAGATGGTGCAAGTTTGATCACTGGAGCTGTGCTCCATCCACCAAATACGTGTGTATGTATGAAAGGTAGTTGAAGCTTTGCTCCATCTACTCAATGTGTAAATGTGTGTATATGTATGTATGTGTGTGTGTTTATGTGTGTATAAGCATGCATGAAGTTGTTGCTTGTTTGTTGGAGCTTGTCTTGCTTCATCAGTCATGTGTATGTGTGTGGGTGTATGATTTCTTTCTTCTTTTTTCCTTTTTCTTCTTTACCAGCTACAACCAATTCCAGCCTCCAGTCAAATAACTCAGTGTCCTGCCTCAGTTCATTCATGTCAAAGTTGGTTTTCAACTTTCTCTCTTTCTTTTTCTCATCTCTGCTCCTACATCTCTCACTATATTTTATCTATTCTCTATCCTGTGCTATTCTCCCCTCTCTTGCCATACCTTGTCTCCTGACATGTTCAGTCTACTTTCTTTCTTGGCAGTAGATGCTTCCAGATATTTCTGGCTGTTCTCTATCTTGCATCTATAATTCACCAAACCATGGAGCTGCCATGTTGTCAGTTTAAACAGACACATGATACCATGCCTATAATCATCATTGTGGACTCTTTTACTGGAACCATAATCCATAACAAGTATTTTTCTTCTATAAGTTACCTTTCAATATGGTGTTTATAACATTAACAAAATGTACATAGTACAAGAATAAACCAGATAAATGAGCTCACTAATAAAAATAGTTAAGACTCAATTTATAAGAAAATATTACCTAAAGCTTGCCTCACACAACACTCATACTATCTAAAAAGATAGATGGGAGAAGAGAGAGAGACATGAATATTTACCAGTCAAAGTATCCATTTGACTGAAAACAGGAATTCTCCTTCTACTTGGGAGACATTTAACAATATAGGGCAGAGGCCAAGAAAATTCTAAGTATCTCACAGAGAGAGTAGGTGTTATATAAATGACTTACCAAAAATCAGAACAAAAAACTCTGAACCTGACTTTTCTATGCTTACCAGTCCACTTCTATTTTTAGGAATACTTTTTTTTCTTAATAAAGTAAATCTCTTTCTCACACTGCTTATATGTCCCTGGTCCAATTCATTGTTCCAGGACACAAAACTTGGAAATCTTGTCAGGTTCTCTTGGGTTCCTGATGTCTACTTATTATAACATGAACAGTTCTTCTGAATAACCATTTTTCCTGCTAGCAGATCAGAGTTGAATTTTAAGACAGGGGACTATATAATGATTAGTTTCAATTGCTAAATTGATGCAATCTAGAATTGCGTTTGTGATTATACATTATCAACATGACAGAAGGTAGAATGGCCTGGGAAGAGAGTCTCAATGAGAAATATTCTGGATTCAGTTGGCTTGTGGTCATGCCTGTGAGAAATTCATTTTATTGAGTTAACTGGTATGGGAAGATCTTCCAGCATGAATGTGAACAGAGCCATTTCTTGAGCTAGGTACAAGACTAAGTGAAAAAAAAAAGACAGCTGCTTCATTTCTTACATGCATTCATTCATTCTGTCTCTGTTCATGACTGAGGCTATGAGTAGATGCTTAAATTTTCTCCTACATTTATTTTTCCACATTGATGGACTGTAACCTGATGTTGTAAACTAAGACAGACCTTTGTTCCCCTAAGATGCTTGGTTCACAGTCACAACAAAAAGGAAGCTAATAAAGAGGTCTACAGACCAAAGATTCCTTGACACAAAGAGCCATATGGCCACTGACTGTCCAAAGAATATAACACATTACATTCAGTTAATGCCTGTACATTGTCAAAGATTCTTCTAAAGATCTCTGAGATCTTATGTCCTACAATGTTTGATTGAGGGGCATAAGAATTTTCTGAAATGATTAAACTAAAACTTTGTGATATTTAGGTTTTTTTTTATCAAGTTGGCACAAGGAAGAGTCATTTTGAAAGAGGGACCACAATTTTTAAAGATTCTGCCATAAGGTTTTTCTTTCAGTGTGAAGAGACACTGTGACAAAGGCAATTTATAAAAGAAAACATTAAATTGGGAGGGAGGTATCGTGGCAAGAAGCATGGCAGCAGAAAAGTTTGCATGTTGCTGAAGCAGTAGGTGAGAGATTATATCTCATCTGATCCACAGGCAGGAAGTAAAGAGTGGCACAGGCTTTCAGAATGTCAAAGCCAAATCCCGGTGACATACCACTTTAAACAAGCCCAAACCTTCTAATTCTTCCCAAACAGTTACACCAACTGGGAATCAAGTAGTTATATATATTCAAATCATCATGTAGAGTAAGCCAGGAAGGGCTAGCCAGTAAGCAGCACTCCTCCATTATTTCTGCTCCAGTCTCTATCTCCAATTTCCTGCCTTGAGTCCATGTCCTGTCTTCCTCTTAATAGAATGTTACCTTGAAGTATAGGATGAAAGGAGTCCTTTTCTTTCAATACACACACACACACTGAGAGAGAGAGAGAGAGAGAGAGAGAGAGAGAGATAACAGGTTGCCCATGGGTTAATCACAACAATAGCAAGCATATAAAGATAGACTTCTTTACCTTCACATTTCACATGTGGCTCAATAATTATTTTATTCCCAGAGCCTGGCCAGAATCCTTCTTTACAAACACAGTGAGTTCTATTGAAGCAGGTAGCATTTTCACTGCATTGCGGGCAGGAAGCTGTGGAGAACACAGAATATTTTCATGCATTTTCTCATGTTCTTTGAGGTATCTCTTTTTATAGCCATACTATTGCTAAATATAGTTGCTCTCAATGTCTTTCTATATCTATGTTCTTCCATAAATACCAATTTTTCAAACTGTAAAATTTTAATTGGGAGACTTTATGTTTCTATTTGTTGGAGCTTTCTCTGGCCACCCAGTATTCATTGGTCACCAGAAAGAAATTAGTATCTCTTCCCATCACACATGGCTCCTTACATCAATGACTGACAGGAATGTGCTTTTAAAAGACTCAGCTTGAAGAGATATGGAGATGTCACAGTTGTAAATGTAAGTATGCTTGTAAGTTCAATGTGTAAATATGATGACTTGAGTTCAAAACATACATCACAACACCAGCAATGATACAGACTTAGGGAAATAGAAGTCAGTATCTGCCAGTTCTATAACTTGGAGCCAGCTCCTCCTTTGTAAAACCAAGGATCATGTGTGGATTTTGTTGTCTTTATAGTTGTAGTGTCTTCTTTATAGTAATATCATGAGTACTGAATAAAATAATGTGTAATTGGTTAGCTAAATGATATAAACAATGATGGTGAAGATGAAGATGTTAGAATAGGACAATGGTGCTTAAGACAAATACCATAAAAAGTTTCAAACTTAACAGTGAACACTTCGCTTCTTAGGAAGAATATTTTGTATCCCACTGGCATTAACAATAAATAGCCTCACCTGAAGTATTCTGCAATTCTAATGCTGACCAGACCAGCAGAACACCAAGAGCTGAAAGAGAAAGAATGAAATGATGTGATTGGGTTCATTTGGAGTTCTAGCTCTGCTTCAAAGTTTTATAGGCTTTTCTGCCCTATAAATAAGACTGTTACTCATGCACATTCATTCACTACAGTTGTCATGGTGGATTGTAGGGAACCTGAAAATAATGGAAAATGAAACATACATCCTATTGTAGCTGTGAACTGACCAATGAACACGACTAGTCTTCCAAGTCATTCACAGAGAAACCACAACTACAACCTCTGTTCTATATTCAGTGGTCCCCCTACCAGCTGAGGCCTCTAATACCACATTGTGTATTATTTGAAATACAATTACTATATGAAGCAAAGCACAGTGCAGAGAAAATGAATGCATTGGGTGGCTTTTCATGTTGAGTATTTTTTATTATTCTCTGAAAGAAGTACACCGGTAGATTTCTGTCATAACTAAACCAATTTGACATAGCTTAGAAAAGGTAATCTTTTTTAAATTTTTTATTAATTACACTTTATTCACTTTGTATCCCCCCTGTAGTTCCATCCCTCCCTTCTACCCTCCCAACCCCTCCCTTTTCCCCCTTCTCCATGCAATCCTCTCCCCAAGTCTACTGATAGGAGAAGTCTTCTTTTCCTTCCTTCTGATCCTAGTCTATTAGGTTTCATCAGGGGTGGCTGTATTGTCTTCCTCTGTGGCCTGGAAAGGCTGCTCCCAGCTCAGGGAAAGGTGATCAAAGAGCAGGCCAATCAGTTCATGTCAGACACAGCCCCTGCCTGTTCCCATTGCTATGGAACCCACCTGGACACTGAACTTCCATGGACTGCATCTATGCAGGAGTTCTAGGTTATCTCCATGCATGGTCCTTGGTTGGAGTGTCAGTCTCAGGAAAGACCCCTGTACTCAAATTTTTTGGTTCTGTTGCTCTCCTTGTGGCTCCTGTCCTCTCCAGATCTTACTATTTCCCACGTGTTTCATAAGATTCCCTGCACTGCACTCTGCCCAAAGGTTGGCCATAAGTCTCAGCATCTGCTTTGATAGTCTGCAGAACAGAGCCTTTCAGAGGCCCTCTGTGGCAGGCTCCTGACTTGTTCCCTGTTTTCTCCTTCTTCTGATGTCCATCCTCTTTGCCTTTCTGGGTGGAGATTGAGCATTGTAGTAAGAGTCCTCCCTCTTGATTAGTTTATTTAGGTATATACAGAGTTTAGTAGGTTTCTCCTATATTATATGCCTGTGTGAGTGAGTATATACCGTGTGTGTCTTTCTGCTTCTGGGATAGCTCAGTCAGGATGATCTAGAAAAGGTAATCTTTACTGAAGAATTATTTCATCAGACTTGCCTGTAGGCAAAACTGTGTGATGTTTTATTGATTAGTAATTGATGTGGGAAAAGCCTAAAGCACTATGGGCAGTGCAACACCTTGACTGGTGGTCCAGAGTTGTATAAGAAAGCATGCTGGGCAACACACAGAAAAACAAACAAAAATACAAAACAAACCAACAAGCATCATTGCTCCATGGTCCCTGCTTTATATCATGCTTCAAGTTCTTGTTTCAAATTCTTTTTTATGGTGGAGTATGTAATGTAAGCCAATATAAATCTTTTCCCCAAGTATATAATAACAAATATATAATAACAATTCAAGGGAATTATTTTATATTAGTCTGCTTTGGTGAACCAATGAGTTTACTTGAGGTTACTTCCAGGAACATTTGTGAGGTTTTACTACTTGCAGTAACATGATCAACTAAGGGGCAACTATGCCCCCAAGAATTTCATTCCCAACACAAGAATCGTTATTTCTTATATATCTTTGGGAAACAGGGAACAAATATGACACATGAAACCCCCTCTCCATAAGGGAATGTAAGTGAGCTTAATGTGGTTGATGTGTTGTACAACCACCAGTACATGTTCTGATTTAAATGTTCCATTTGTCCTGCAAAGTAGACAGAGTTTCACAAGAAAATGACTATATTTTATGTAGTCCAAGAGGGTTGAGAAATTAGTATTTTGCCATGTAACCATTTGTAATTAGAAAAATGTATCTTCCTATAATATAATATTTTAAATATCTTACATTATTTTAATACATTTTTAAATGTGTATTAATTATACTTTATTCACTTTGTATCCCACCTGTAGTTCCCTCCTTCCTCCTTTCCCAATCCCACCCCCCTCTTTCTTCACGCTACCCCAGACAGATATGTGGACCTCAAAACACCAAAGACTGGGTCTCCCTGTTGGGAGGAAACTCCACAGTGTGTGTGGGAGAATGTCTGGCTCTACCTCACGACACCCAGCTCTGGAAAAGTTTCTGGGTTCCCACAGGCTCCAGGCTCTAGACTCCTGTGGCACACATGAGAGCTGTGTTCACCTGCTACTGATTACCACTTGGGTGCTAGGACACAGAGTTCCAACCTCAGACCTACAGAAGCCTGGGATCCCTGAGATCTGTCCCCAGATACTGCTCCATAAGGCAACCAGTTATCCTTAAATAAACTGCACAAACCACAGGGCACCCAGGTTATATCAGCAGCTCACTAAATTTAAAGCAAGAAACCCAGAAGCAGGATAGTTTTCTTCAGGAATTCTCTGGGTGAGAGGAGAGCCCCCTTGACTAACAAAGACAACACTTATCACTCAGGTCTAAACGCCTGAGGTGAGCTGTGGCAATTCTAGAAAAACATCGGCCATTCAGTGACCATACCCAAAAAGCTGAGGAGGCCTCCTCCAGGGAAAATCATCTTTCTGCCAATGAAATTCTCCCCACTCCAGGATTCCAGGAAGCAAAAAAAACTAACACCCAACACCTAAGACGGCCCAATGGGTAGAGGCCAGCATAGAAGCTCAACCAACAAAAGACAGAGCAATATGGCATCTCCAGAACCCAGTTATCCAGGAGCAAGCATCCATGGACACCCCAGCATAAATGGAATTCAAGAAAATAACCCAAGACAAATTATGTCATCATAGTTGGTACTTCCATCTGGCAACCTGTGCCTTGTCCAATGTGCTGAAAGTCTTAGTTTCCCTCAGTTCTCTAATGAACATGCACTATTTGGAATACTGAGATTATCAAAGCCAAGGTGAATGGGTTCTGAATAAAAGTCTCACATATAGTTATGACAGAGTTTTGTAGTGTTTAAAATCAGTATTTTGTGCTAGACATTCATTATTACCCCCCAAGATATTGAAGAAACATGGTTGGGACCAATGATCTTAGTGTGCAACATCAATGAAATTTAATCTGAAAACTGTCTTTTTGCCTTTCCTAAGGAAAGTCTTGATCAAATAAGGGGACATTTTGCTTGTTCTATGCCTTCACAGAAATCAGCCATCACAGAGCCAGGCTCTTTGATCACGTCCACCTTAGGGGGGAACATCCTTACTAGTCCACAGAGGAAGACAAAAAAGCCAGGCCTGATGAGACCTGATAGACTAGAATCAGAGGGAAGGGGAGGAGGACCTCCCCTATCATTGGACTGGGAGATGGGCATAGGAGAAGAATAGGGAGGGAGGGTGTGATTGGGAGGGGACAATGGAGGGGCTATGGTTGGGATACAAAGTGAATAAGCTGAAATAAATAAATAAATAGATAGATAGATGATAAAAAAATAAATAAATAAATGAAAAAAGGAAAAAAGAAATCAGCCATCCCTATTCTGAAAATGATTCAGAAAATGTTTGTATGTCATTAAAATTCTTTGATACTTTCTACCATTCTTTATCCTTTATTAATACAACACTCACCATCTCATTCTCAAAACAATTTGATGATTCACTATCAAGAAAATGGTATTTAAATGCTACACTGAGAAAATCCAAAGGCCCATGCTCAACCATTTAACCTGCTACTACAACATAAGTTATTTTTTTGTGAAAATGGCACTGTATTTTTCTGGATCTTAGAAGAACATGATCATGATACCATCCTGTTTGGTATCTAATGATTAATTCTTCTTCAAATATGACATTTGATATATATTCTCAATTGGTGAAAGGGGCAATTAGGCTCCCTTTGGCATATTTTATAAAGGCACCAAAACCATGTATGACTTGCCTCCCAACACTACAGTGGTCGTAGAGTTTGCCTGTGAAGCGTGGAGCTAGATGTCACTGTCAAATTAGGCTTGCTTCAGGAGAGTTTATTCACAGTTTGGGGTGGGTAGCTCAGGGGGAGAGCATGTGAACACCAAGGGCAGTGCATGAATTTCATCTTAAGCACTTGGGGTAAAACAAATAGTTTATTTACAACACAATACATAGAAAACTATTAGTAGCTAACAAAAGACTTACAAGAGAAAGAGTTGAGCTGGAGGGATTAATTTAGCACCCATGTTATAATGAATTAAGTTAAACTATTCACTCTGGGTTTTTAGTTGGTTAGGGGGTATAGTATGGATTTTATAGTTTCTCATATTTATGAGACAGTGGTGTTTCTCTCCCTATCAGTTGGAGGACATAAAATCTAACATTAATACTAACAAACCCAAGGAGAGCTAAAGATAAGACACAGTTTGTGTATGACTAGCTCTGAATGGGCTTGACTCATACAGAACTGCAGCTAATTATTGCCAGTGCTGAGGCAGGATCTGCTTACTAAACTCCCAGCCACACTTCATGTTCATTAACAATGAAAGACTCACAACTACTCATCAAAATTCATTGAATATCTTTCCTCACACTCACAAATATGCTTCCAATATATATCTTAGTCTCTTTTATGTGTGAATACACATGACTATTAAATGTCATTAGTTGAAGAGGTTTTTGATATTATAAAATCTTAATATCTCAGAATTGAGAAACTTTAAATATTCTTAACTACCATAATCTGGATAACAGCAAACATAACACTCTTAATCTAAAAATTTACAATGTGTCCATAATGAAAGCTATCTCTCACTTATGATTTATCGTTTAGAATTTCCGGCTTATAAAAACCTAGAGCCATTGCCAAGTTTTTCATATGTGTCTAAGATGCCTCAGCTGTTAAGAGTGCTTGCAGAAGATCTGAGTTTGGTTCCTAGCACCCACACAGCGATTCAGAAGGCTTGGTCACTCTCTTTCTATAGGATCTGACACCTTCGTCGTGCCTGCACAGATACCAGGCATGCGCATAGTGCACACAAATATGTGCAGAGAAAAATGCATACGCATAATATAAAAACAAATAAATCTTTTTAAAGACCACTTTAGACTGCTAAGCTCTGCAGTCTTGCCCAAACATCACTGATACCTATGCTGCAAATTAGTGTGCACACGGGCACCAGCATGTCCTTGGCAATCAGAATGCACAATGATATTATTCTACTTGCTTTTGCTTGTGAATTCCTAAAGGCCAGGCGCTCTTTCATATTCCCCTACATTCTTTTATTAAAAGTATATTAGACATATAATATAGGACAAACGTACTAAAATCTGTACACCTAACGAAGCTAAGCAAGGAGGACCCTGGGTTAGATGATCAATCCTCACTCAAAAAGTAAAAGAAGATAGACACCCGAAGAAGGAAAAAACAGGGAATAGGACAGGAGCCTACCACAGAGGGCCTCTGAAAGACTCTACCCAGCAGTGTATCAAAGCAGATGCTGAGACTCATAGCCAAACTTTGGGAAGAGTTTACAGAATCTTATGAAAGAAGCAGGAGATGAAAGACCTGGAAGGCCAGGAGTTCCACAAGGAGAGCAGCAAAACCAAGAAATCTGGGCCCAGGGGTCTTTTCTAAGACTGATACTGTAACCAAGGACCATGCCTGGAGATAACCTAGAACCACTGCATAGATGTAGCCCAAGGCAGTCAATAATCAAGTGGGTTCCTGAGTAAGGAGACTGTCTCTGACATGAACTCTGGCTAGCTCTTTCACCACCACACCTGAGGGGAGAGCAGCCTCATCAGGCCGCAAAGGGAAACAATGCAGCCAGTCCTGATGAGACCTGAGATGCTAGGGTCAGATGGAAGGGGAGGAGGACCTCCCCTATCAGTGGACTTGGAGAGGGGAATGAGAGGAGATGAGGGAGGGAGGGTGAGACAGAGACAGGGAGGGATTGTGAGGGAATGAGGCAGGTGGCTACAGCTAGGATACAAAGTGAATAAACTCTAATTAATATAAATAAATAAAATTTAAAAAAATGTTGAGTACTATTCCATTGTTTAAATGTACCACAATTTCTGTATCCATTACTCAGCTGAGGGACATCTGGGTTGTTTCCTGCTTCTGGCTTTTACAAATAAAGCTGCTATGAATATGTATGAGCAAATGTCCTTTTTGTATACTTGAGCTTCTTTTGGATATATGCCTGGGAGTGGTATAGCTGGATCTTGAGGAAGCACTGTTCCTAATTGTCTGAGAAAGTGCCAGATTGATTCTAAGTGGTTGTACAAGTTTACAATCCCAACAGCAGTGGAAGAATGTTCTGATGGCTGTAAGGTGAAATCCAGGGTCATTTTGATCTGCATTTCCCTGATGACTAAGGATGTTGAACATTTCTTTAAGTGTTTCTCTGCCATTCAATATTCCTCTACAGAGGAATTCCTCTGTTTTGCTCTGTACACCATTTTTAAATTGGATTACTTGATTTTTTGCTTTTTAACTTCTTGAGTTCCTTATATATACTGGATATTAGTTTTCTGTCAAATATAGTGTTGGTGAAGATCTTTTCGCAGTCTGTAGGCTGTTGTTTTGTTCTGATGACAGTGTCCTTTGTTTTACAAAAGCTTTTCAGTTTCATGAGATTCCATTTGTTGGGTAAGATAAAAAATCCTTACTCAGAAAAGCAAACAGAATGGAAATTGGAAGAGGGAGTAAACAAGAAATAGGACATAGAGGGCCTCTGAAAGACTCTACTCAGCAGTTTGTCAAAGCAGATGCTGAGGCTCATAACCACACTTTGGGCAGAGTGCAGGGAATCTTATAAAAGAAGGGGGAGATAAAAAGACGGGAAGGGCTAGGAGCTGCACAAGGAGAACAACAGAAACAAAAATCTGGGCCCAGAGTTCTTTTCTGAGGCTGATACTCCAACCAAGGACCATACATGGAGATAACCTATAACTCCTGCACAGATGTAGCCCATAGCAGCTCAGTATCCAAGTGGGTTCCCTAGTGAGGGGAACAGGGACTGTCTCTGACATGAACTCAGTGGCTGGCTCTTTGATCACCTCCCTCTGATGGGGGAGGAGACTTTCCCAGCTAAAGAGGAGGACATTGCAGCCAGTCCTGATAAGCTAGGGTCAAATGGAAGGTGAGAAGGATCTCCTCTATCAATGAACTTGGAGAGGAGCATGGGAGGAGATGAGGGAGGGAGGGAATGAGTGAAGGGCTACAGTTGGGACACGGAGGTAATAAACTGTAATTAATATTTAAAAAGTAAAATAAAAATTTAAAAATGCCTTCAGTTATTCCATGAAAAAGAAGACCTCCCCAGTCAACCACACATAAAAGGAGATAAACCTTGAATAACCAAGAAGACCAAGAAGACCCACAACTGCTTTTGGCGTCTCTTATAAGAGGTAACAACCCATAGTCACTCAAGACAAGAGTTCATAGAAACACCTAGCCAATCACATAAATATAAAAATAAAGATAGGGCAGTTTAATTTATAGATGGTTTAATTAATGAAGACCCATGCCAAGCTTGAGGGTTAGCTGATTAATCAAAACCCAATTACTAATGTAATGGGTGATCTTGTTTTTCAGATGAAGGAAAAATCTTCATGTAAGTAAAATTTTTATTGCTAATTGATGTAGTAGGATCAAGTCCACAGTGGTGGTTAACACCCTTAAGTAGGGGGATGTGAGATGTAAAAAAAAAACATAGCTGACCAGGAGCCTGCTAAAAAGAAAAAAAAAAAAATCCTCCGTGGCTGTCAATGTAAGCTTCTACTTCGAGTTCTTTTCTTGGTTTCCCTTGATGATGGAATGTACCCTTTAAGATCAAATAAACACTTTCCCCTTCAAGGTGTTTCTAGTCAGAGTGTTTTATCACAACAACACAAAAGGTCACAAACCAAGCCAATTTCAAGAAAGAGAATGAACACAGGCTGAAATGCAGTGTAGTTTGCTCCACAAAGTACTGGTGGTAATGGTGATGGTGAATGATGGTGAAGGGGATGATGGTGATGAAGTGGATGGAAAAACATATTAAAATTCTTTTATATTTAAACATCAAACTAAAATTGCATTTTCATGCAAGGAACTTGTATGTCATTTTTACGTCTGAATAAACATTTATTTACACAGAGATGCATACATCATTTACAACATTTATGGAGGCTGGAACACACCATGGAATAGTCAAGTAGGAAACCATATGACCTTAAAAGCTGAAAATACTAACCAACCAGTGGTTCTTTGAGTCTTTACGTTTGTGTGTGTTCATGCATGTAGGTTATATGGAGACCAGAGGTTGTTGTCAAGTTGTTTTATCAGTAACTATGTACTATCACTGAGTATATAGGGCCTTTCACTGAACCTAAAACTCACCAGTGTTTCTAGACTGATATAACGGCAAGCTCAATTCCTGCTGCCATGGTCTAGAGAGCAATGGTACTGCTGCTGCATTTCACCACACCATTGTATTTTTCATGGGTTCTCGGGATCTGAATTTAGTTTTTAATGCTTGCATAGCAAGTAATTTACCAATTTCCCTTGTAGAAAAGAGTGTACCCATTCCTCATCTACATGGCTAAACATCAGTTATGTCTAAGTTCTCCTAACAAACACCTAAGTGGTCAACACTGCCTACCTCTTCCTATAGATATTTTTATTACCATGTAGAGCAAAACTTCACAATAGAAGTTTGTTAGGGTCCAGGATATTGTAACACACTGAGCAATAATTCTCCATGCACAGACCTGACTGGTTGTCAGTCTGCAGCAGAGAGTGGAAGGTTCACTTAGCTTACCCCAAAGGGGATTTCTGTATATGCTGATGATGTCATAACACTACATAAAACGGGCATTAGTTTGCAACCTCCAGGAGATTCACAGATATTTGGAGAATCTGTGTCTCTTGTAGGGTTCTCAGCTAGTCTGATCACAAGTTAATCACAATAAATGAATATATTATCATCAACTGTTTCCACATTTATTGGTAGCAATTCCTACATTCTCTTTGTGTTTCTTGGCATCCTCTCACTAATTGTACACAACATGACTCCTTTTCAGTTCTATTTATGTTTTGAGATAAAGATGTGTACCCTTGAATCTTTAAGAATCTAGAAAAGTGGCCAAGGTTTTTCATGCCTATGATGGAGTTCTTGGAAAGAAAAAGATTCTAAGCTTGAGACCGGTGTGAAATACATAAGGTTACATTGTTGCAAAAATGTTATAATTATGATTTAAGATTTAATTTTTATAGGTATCTGTGCTATATGCAGCACATTATACATGCATGAGTCACATGCATAAGCTCCCATATGGGTGCTGTGAATCAAAGTCAGGTACTCTGAAAGAGCAGCCAGGGTTTGTAACCACAGAGCCATCTCACAGTGTAAAAAGAAGATTAAAATGAAACCCCAAACTTGCAATGATGTTGTAAATTGGGTGTCTAGAATACTGTGGTGACAATGCAACTAAATAAACTGAACCACACAGTAGAATATACATATTCATCTCCAGGTGAAGTTGGCCTCCACCATCACAGATCACTGTTGTTTTTAATATTCACAATCACTTCCCTGATCTCTTCTACCCCTTCCTATCAGACAGAAAAAAATCAGAAATGGAGCAATGGCAATGAATGAAGAAATCTAAATCAAGTAGACAAGGGAGATGCAAAGAAAATATTTTTTTAAAACAGTGATATGGAATTTATCATTTCATCTCATTTTTTTTATTCAGGCCCAAGAACACTTTGCATGGTTTTAAACTCTGAAGGTTCTTTTGTTATTGCTGTTGCCTTTAATTTTATTCTGAAAATTTTATGGCTTTATATTTTCATATAAATCTGTGAACTTAACTGAAAGCTTGCTTCTCTTTGTAAAATGTCAGTTTTTGATGAAAATTTGGTTTTGTTCACCTTAGGTTTCTGTTTTGTCCAGTTCCTATAGTTATGGCACAAGGAATCTTTATTATTATTATTATTATTATTATTATTATTATTATTTACACTTTATTCATTTTGTATCCCCCATAAGCCCCTCCCTCCTCCCCTCCCGATCCCACCCTACTTCCCCTTTCTTCATGCATGCTCCTCCCCACTTCTACTAATAGGGGAGGTCCTCCTCTCCTTCTTTCTGATCTTAGTCTATCAGATCACATCAGGAATGGCTGCATTTTCTTCTTCTGTGGCCTGGTAAGGCTGCTCCCCCCTCAGGGGGAGGTGATCAAAGAGCAGGCCAATCAGTTTATGTCAGAG